GTTTAGAATTCCCTTAATTGCAGCACTACCTTGGTGGTCATAAATGGCTTTAGTATATCCTTAGTGTGGAAGGTCTTTAATGCACCTTTGATTTTGTAGAACAGCTTTTCAGGATAGAATAATATGAGTTGGCAATTATTTTCTCTTAGGGCTTAAAAATTTTCATGAATTTTTCTAGGTCTTTAAGATTTGTGTTGAGAAATCTTCTGTTATCTACAGGGTTTTCCCCATAGATAGTTTGGCTTTGCCCTATAATAGCTGGATTAAATTATCTCCCTGTTCTGAGTTTCTGGCATTTTATTTTATTTTTTTAAAATTTATTTAGCACAGTATCTACAGGGTCTTACTATAAAGATCAGACTTATAGTGATCTTCCTGTTTTCAGCCTCCCAAGCATTGGGATTACAGATACACGCCACCACACTGAGTCTCAGTTGCCATCTCAGTGTGCCTTGGGGCAAGAGCCAGATCAGCTTGTGGTGCTGGGGATCGAACCTGGTCCCTGAGTCTGCCTAAGCAGGCACTTTAATCCTCTGAGCTATCTGGCTGGCCCTGTTTCTGGCATTTTGACTGTGATGCGTGGAACAGCTGAATACTATAAGATGTGTGGCTGAGCTTCACAGTGCAACTGAGGTAATTCAACAAGAACCTATTTTTGGCTTAGATGTCTTTCTGAACAAAGCAAGACTAGAGGTACAGAGTCAACATTGGATTATCAGAATGTTCACTAGGAAGCATTACTGTCCTTTGATCATTTTCAGGTTAAAACCAAACATACAGAAAACCAAGACTGTGGTGAACATACTTGATTCAGAGGAGGAATGTGCAAAGCTTCTGAAGAGGCCTACACCTCAAGAATATGTGATGGAAGTTCTCCAAGTATCTAGCGATGGGACTATGTTCACTGCTTATCCTCTAGATGGTGGAAGGGGCTTTCCTCTTACCAATAGACAGCCCTCATCAGCTTTGATAATTTTCTAGTAACATACTGGAGAAAATACCAAGATGCTCTCAGACTTGCATAGCTTCTAAGATCTAAATATCCCCAAATCAATTACGTTACAACACAAGCTAACTGTATTGGCTGGGGGATTCTCCTGATACTAATTTTGAGGTTTAGTTTGATGATGGCACAAAAAATACACAGAAAATTTCATTTAAGTGATTGAGAAACTAAGTATGGGAACGTTTACATTTTAAAAGACAAAATGAAGTTACTAGCTCGAAAGAGGAAATAAAGGGCTGGTGAGATGGCTCAGTGGGCTGGTGAGATGGCTCAGTGGTCTAAAGCACCTACTTAGAACAAACTTAGCAAAGCACAGGGACCGCGGTTCAATCCCCCA